GGGGGGGGGGGTGCTCACCTCTCAGCTCCTGCTTGGCCCCTTGGGTGTATGAGTTTGTGATCCCTTCAGTGAAGGTGAAGAGCCTGCTCTTGGGAATCAACCCCTGTGCTGCGCTGGGGGCGATGCCTCTCCTTGGCCAGGTGGTGACACCTGGATTGGGGCTGCTGTTTCTATGTGCCCCAAACCGTGGGGTAGGGCTGGGGGCATGGGGGTTATAGCCAATGATCGCAGATATGTCAGGAAGGAAACACTGTCAAAGATTCTGACCGTGGTTTTCTTTGATCCTCAGTTTGGGTTTAGTGATTTGGGTTGACTTTGGACTTTTGTGTTTGGGGTGATTCCTGGTTTTGTTTGGATCATGCTGTGTCAGCCACAGAGCATCCCCTAAAAAAAGCTCAGGAGAACCCCTTGTTTCAATGTTAAGTGGGACAGGATCCCGTTCAGTGTTTCTGTTGTGCAGTGGCTGAGCTCTCGCGTGCCCAACAGTGCACTAATTAAAAGGGAAAGTGGCACTCAGCATGTTCTGTGTGTGCTATATTATCTTAGCCGCATCTTTTGTTTTTGCTTTTAGATTAGAAAGCAGTGGCTCAGAGAGGTTAAGTCACTTGCCCGAGGCCACAGAGCACATAAGTGGTAAAGCTGGGGGTTGATCCGCAGACATGCTGTTAACTATAACACTCTACAGCCCAAACTAGGGCCAAGCTTTGCTCTGCTTCTGAAATGTGGGTTATTTCTGCAGTCTAGAAGAGGCTTGGCAAATTGCAGGCTACAGGTCAGACCCAGCCTGTCTTTGTCTATACGACCAGCTCGTGTGCAGGTAGCGTGAGCCCGGGTACCAGGCAGAGATGGCCCCCTCGCACTTCATCGATGTCCAGGGCCTGTGCTGGTCCCACTGACACCTGGGACTCAACTTTTGGCAACTGCTGGGCCCTGAGCTGTGGAACCTCTTTCCAGGAGTTGGCCAGTCTCTTTGCCCAGGGCCAGCTGTCCAAGCCGAGACAGGTGTCACTGGGGTTCTGTGAAACTGACCACGGCAGCTGTCGCCCCAGCCCTCTAGGTCCCTCTTCTCAGGCTGGTGTCTCTCGGTCTCAGAATGTCTCCAGTGGGTGATAACTGGGTATAAAGCAAGCCCACCACCCAGCAGCACGCCCCAGGCAAAAGGGCCTCGGCTGGGAGCTCAGTTGGTGAGAAGCGACCTCTGCTGGTCAGGGCCAGACAGGGACAGCCCCGAGGGAAGGATTCCAAATGCGGGGAACGTGCGAAGCTAATGTCGGCTTCTACATTTAAAAGAAAATTTTTTTTTGATATAACACTTGAGACTTTAACAGATGTTAACGTTTCAGTTTTGACAAGATACCGAAATACAGTGGTTGCTGCACCCTCACACGAGATGTGCAGGAAGACGTAGATTGGCAAAGGAGACGCTGAGACACCAGTTTCCTAGACCGAGGATCCCTCAGACAGGTCAGGGTGTGAGGGGGTCAGTGTGTGATGAGTTTTGAGGAGAGACATCGGAGGAGGGTGTTTGGGGTGAGTTCCTGGTGTGTTGGGTCCAGGGGCCCTCAGAGCAGAGGGTGGGGGACCCACTGCATCCTGGGCTAGTGGCGGGGGGGACCTCGCTGGGGCTGTTAGAATCTTAGTCTGCGAACTCTCTGGTTGAAGGGCTGTGACCACTGACTCACTCCCAGAAATCCAGAGCTGCCCTGTCCACTAGCTGCGTGGCTATTTAAATGAATTAACACCAAAGAAAATAAAAAAATCCGTCTCCCCGGTTGCACCGGCCACTTGTCAGCTGCTCACTGTAGCAGACAAGGAGGCGTTTCTGTCATCTGAGAAAGGTCTACTGGGTGGCACTGAGGGTGAGGGGTGGCCACACGTCCACTTGGGTGCACAGCCAGGGGAGTTTGCTGTTCGGGTCGCCAGCCCTTCCAGAGTTTTCTGCACCAACAGAGACCTTATAGCCTGCAAAGCCAAAGCCCTTCACAGAAAAAGCTTGCTGACCCTCATTTAGAGAATGGGTTTGGGGTGCCATGGGTGGAAGGGAAGGAGCTTGAAGGTCATTGCTGAGGTTCAGGCAGAGGCTGTGGCAGCTGACACTGGGAGGACAATATTTCCGAGAAATATTTTGGAAGTGGAGTGCCCAGGGTGTATTCATGAATTAGATACGAGGGGCGGGCATGAGATGGAGAGGACAGGAGGGGGATTGAGCATTGTGTCCAGTCTGGCTGGACAGCTTGGGGGGTGGGGGGAGCGTGTACTGAGTCTGGTGAAGGTGGGGCTCTGTCTTGGTCAGTGCCATGTCCACAGCTCCTAGGAGGGGTACCTGGGCCCCATAACTCTTCAAGGACACTTGTGGGATGGATGGACGGATGGACGGATGGACGGATGGATGGATGGATGGAGGGACTGGGGAGGGGTTTCTCCTGGGAAATCAAGAGATGGGTTTGCGCGCGATTCATTTTGACTATTTGACCTCCAGATGGAGGTGTCAATGTGGCTGATAATGGATGAGTCTGGAGCTCCGAGAAAGGGTCACGGGGGTTGACAGAGATGAGATGGATTTGAAGCCAGAGGGCTGGAGGAGAGAATTAGGTGAGAGAGTGGGTTAATGGGGAAGAGGACCAAGGGCTGGGTCCTGGGGCAGCCCAGGGGGAGCCTGAGAGGGGCTGAGCAGCTGCAGCCAGAGCGGCAGGAGGGAACCAGGGGACGAGGTGTCCAGAACCGCAGAGGAGGGTGCAGGGATAGACGTGGCAGCACTGTGCTGAGACAGAGCCAGGGGGACCTGCTCTGGCCAAGCGGGTGTGGGGACCCTGACCCAGGGCCGTCTCCTTGTTAACCCTTCTCTCGGCAGCCCTCCCAAGGGGGACCCATGGAGCCCAGTTCAAACACGCCCACCTTGTCCAGACTCCCAGGTCTGTGCGGGGAGACCAAGGCCCAGAGGGAGCAACTGGCTGGTCGGGTTTTCCATGATGGCAGGACCCAGGAGAGTATGTCACAGCTGTGGGTCTCACCACAGGCCTCCCTCGCCAAGAGACACCACAGAGCATCCCCTTAGAAACCTAAGTAGCGTCTGCCTCAAGCAGGGGCTCTCAACCATGGGCATCCTACCCTCCAGGGGACATTGGGTGGCAGTGTCTGAAGATAGTTTTGGTTGTCACTCTGGCATCTGGCAGATAGAGCCCAGGGCTTGCTGCTTAACATTTTACAGGCAAAGAATTATCTGGCCCCAAATGTCAGTACTGCCAAAGTTGAGAACCCCTGACCTAGAATGAGAGGAAAACTCATCCATGTTCCAAAATAATGCTTTGATCCCTGGCAGTGTGGCCCATGACTGTCCAAAGTGCTGAATAGCTTCAGACATCCCCTCCATGACCTCATGGAAGCCTCCCTTGTAGTGGGCAGGAGAGGGTGTTTTATACAGATGTTTGTACAGATGAGGAAACTGAGGCTCAGAGAGGTGGAGACCAAGGCTGCTCCTCTGGAAATGAGTCAATCACAACAGAGGCAAAGGATGGATGGGGGAGACTGGTGTGGTGAGCTTGAGGTCAGGTGAGCCATTCCTGTGCCACCTGTCTCCCCCGAAACCATGACATTGGGAACATGCTGGATGCCTAGAGGATAGAAACCAGGCCTGGACCGAGTACTCAAGCTCACTCCGGCCCCTCAGCCAGTGCTTCCGGCTGCGAGCTTGGCCACTGAGGGCCCGGGAGCATGGCCTCCCCAGGATCAGGGTCCACTGCCCTGCTCTGATTCACACAAGCCAGGAGGCCCAGTGCCCACATGGAGAAAAGGGACCTTTCCACACTCACCTGTGGCTTAACCGAGGAAAGCACACAACTGTTTTTACCTAGAAGCACAGAATGTTTATTTTAATGTTATTTTTGCAAAACTTATTAACTAAATCAGAATTGTAGACTCTTAGAAGTTGCAGGTCACAGTTCATGGGACATAACAAAAGTCTTGAATTCTAGGAGTCTTTAAAAAAAACGCCTATGAGCAAATAATACTTTTGAGGACAGTTTTATTATTGTCAATAATAATGATAAAATAAAACCATAGTGTTTTCACATGGGTATCCGTGCAGGCCATAAGGTAAGGAGAGTTCTGTAGTGGCTGTTCTCAGCTCAGACTAACATCATGATACAAACCTGACTCTGTCTTCTGCAGTGGGTGGGAAGGGGACGTTTGTCTTCTCAGATCTTGCTAATCAGGATTTGGGGCCACAGCCCTTCTAAGGCAAAGACTGCATTTCCGTGAGCCTCACAGGGAAAAGGCCTGGCCTGAGAGGTCTTCAACTGCCAGCAGGGACGCCAAAAGGACAGAAATGGTGATAAGCAATGGGATGCCTGGGACATGCAGTGGTCCTTTCTAGAGGTTCACTGAAGCTTTGTGAGGGCGGTGATCAAGCCTGCCTCGGTCAGCACCACGGACAGTGCCCCCACCCCCCAACCCCAGAAGCGTTCTCTGGCTGATGGATGAATTCCCACACAGTGACTTTGGGGCCAGCTTTGTCAGGCTGTTCCCAGAGGATGTTAGGATCTTCCCCCTTAGGTGGTTGCAAAGACGAAATTAGACGATGTGGGGCGGGGCACCCGGGGTGTGTGCTCTGAGCAGGCAGGGGGCCTAGGGTCCCGAGGTGGGGATGGGAGGCCGCCTCTCTTCTTGTGTTGGGGATGGTAGGTTTGGGTTTGAGCTCCCCCCGCTCCCCTGGTCTGATGGGCTCATTTTCCCCTGTAAAGCTGGAGGTGGGGCTGCACAGGAGGAGGGCGTGAGAAGCTGCAGGTAGGAGAGAGACAGAGAAGGTCTGAAGCAGAATGACCAGGGGCCCGAGGGTGGTGGTCCTGAGATGGCCAGGACTGGGGCTTCTGTGTCGCCGTCTGTCTTCCACAGCAAGACACATGAACGGGAGCCGGCAGATGGAGGCTTCATCCAGAGATGGGGTGTTCCCAGTTAGCTAAATGCAAAGGAAGGGCAGCAGAGGGCTTGGGGGCATTGGTGAGATGGTTCTTGAGTGATGGATGGTGGAACTCGAGCTGGAGAAAGAGAGAAGGGGAAGGAGAGGTTGATGGGTTGGGAGAAAGCCCAGGCGTGGACAGGCCAGGGGAGTGGGGAGCAGTGCTTCGGGAGGGGGAGAAGCCTGAGCCAGCAGCTGGGAGAAGAGGGGATGGGGGCTGTGGACGGGCTGACCCTTCCTCGAAGCTGAAGCTCCCTGCTGTTCCCCTGCCACTCAGCTCACAGCCCTCACTCAGGGGCAGGACTGTTGGTAACCAGGCACGTAAAATCAATCACTGCGGGATCTGAGGGTCTGCAGTGTGCCAGCCACACATCTCGTTGTCGCTTCTTGATTAAATCTCACAATCCTGTGAGGGACTCTTGCTGTTAGTCCGATGTCATCCACGGGTAAATGGAGACACAGGAGATGAGGAACTCATCCAAGGTCGCAGAGTAAGTGCAGGGGCCAACTGGCATCTGATTCCAAAGCCTGTGTTCCTGAGCAGCAGCCCCAGGTGAGGTGGGAGCTGTAGTACTAGCTACGGAGTGGAAAAGGGACAGAATCGCCCACGCCCTTGAAGTTATTTCCCTCCCTCCCCCCTCCCTCCTCTCTGCTTCTGATGTTTCTATTGATAGTAGAACTCACGGGGAGTGAAATGTGTACGAGAGGTGACTCCTCTGTATCCTGCTCCGTGATAACAAGCCCACCCAGCCAAAGCTCCCTTGCTGTCTTCACACCCACCCCAGCCAGAGGAACTGTGGTTTGTGAATTCTCTGTTTTGCTTTTGAACCAGCCAAGATGTCGTCCGCATCCAGAGTTGAAGAAGCAGGTGCTGCTGGCAGCCTCCCACTTACCACGGACGAGCCCTCTCAAGCCTTAGCTGGGTCCGATTCCCCGGACAGTCCTCCCAGACCCCTGGAGAGATCCGTGGGCCAGCTCCCCAGCCCCCCGCTGCTGCCCACCCCACCGCCCAAGGCAGGCTCCAAAACCACGAGGAGTGTCACAGGTGGGCCTATGTGCATCCACCCATCCACCTTGCTTCCTTTTTCCTTCCGTTCATCCATCCATGCCTCTGACCCGTCCTGATTGGGCTCCCACTGTGGGCTGGTTCTCACCCTTGCCTTCTGCGATGCTCTGGGGCTCTGGGCGGGTCCAGGGGAGCAGAGCTGGAGACGGGAGGGCGGTCCTTAGCCAGAAGGAGTCCTGGTTGTCAGGGGCAGACAGCCCGGGCTCCCTCAGACACATGTGGGGGCAGCGCTCAAAGGTTTCTTCCAGAAGGTGGATGCAGGAGGCGTAGCCACAGCCCCCAGGATGGGGGCTTTGTCTTTCTGGGTATTCAGGTGTCTGCCTGTCCTTCTCTTTCTGCTTCTGAGTCAGTGTCTGTCTGTCTGTCTCCTTACCTCCCCCCTCCCTCCCTCCCTGCCACTCCCCATCTCCCCTTCCTCTGTCTCTCTGTCCGTCTCTTGATCTCTGCTCATCTCTGTGAGAGCTCTGTCCAGCAAGGCGGAGCCAGGAATCCACACTGGACTGTAGGGTGGTGGTCAGAGAGGGGAGCACGGCTGAGCAGAGGCCCGCGAAGGCATTGCCTCCTGTAGCTTTGGCCACACTGGCTGAAGGGCCCCAGGAAGTAGGGGTGTTGTCTTTTCAAGTTTGGGTATTTCTTGTCCCGTCCCTGCTGGAAACAGGAGACACTGCAGGTCTCAGGAGGAAAGCAGGCCTTTCACAAAGAGGCGATTTTTTTTTAAGAGTAAAGCCTTGCGTGCTGCCTCTGAGGGCGGGGCCAGGAAGATGAGAGTGGATAGCAGAGTTCAGCAGCTTTGCTCTAATCCTTGGCCACCACCTGTAATATGACTACTCACCACTTGTCAGGATCTGCCCACCCCCAGGCACCGCAAGGAGGCCAGCCCCTCTGGGGAGGGAACGTGTCCCCACCCCTAGATCCCAGCGCCTGCGTAGAGCAGGTGCTCAGCGAGTGTGGGTAACTGTGATCGAAGGAACAGTCAGATGATCTGACCCCTTTGTCTGCTTTCTGCCTCTTTCTCCATCTCTGGGAATCAGTCAGAGTGTTCAGTCCTTGGGTGACATGGCCACACAGACTAAAGTTTTGAGGCAAATAATCATCTTGTTACGGTCTGTGTGCTAATCCCCCTTCCATCCATTGAAACGTGAAACAGTTGGAAATCCACTGGAAAAGGCACCATCCGCCCCACTTTCTTCTGGCTCCTGTATAATCAGTTCAGGGACCCTCTGTCCCCGTTGTGCTTAGACAGGATCAGACCTCAGCCTGTTTCACATCCCGTGAGTCGTCTCTCCCCGTGTCCTAAGTCCTGGGTCAGCTTCTCTGACTCCCCCCAGCCCCTCAGGGGCGAGGAGCTCCTGAACTTTGGAGACCTTTTCTGACAAGTCACCGAGGAGTCTGGGGACTGGATTAGGGCGGGAGGGGAGGGTTGCGAGCTTTGGCCTGGATCTCTCACAGCTGAGACTGCATTTTGGCGACTTGGTATTCATTTCCTTTAGGGGAAAATATTTGCTTCAGCACGTGGCCACTAGGTGGCAGCAGAGGAAGAGAAAGGCCCTTCACCTGGGCTTAACTGGGGCACAAGGGGACCGAGGCTACACACCCAGCGCTCCCCACCCACCCCGCGTGCTCGCTCGGCTGAGATAGCCACAGCGGCCCCCAGCCCACGAGCTTTCTCAGCCCACCCTCCCCCAGGTGTCAGGGAGCCACCTGCACCCAGATCCCACACACAGACTTGCTGCGCTGGGTCTGCGTGGTGTTTAATATTTTAAAAATGTGTTGCCAACATTTTAAACATATCAAAATATGTTTAAGTATTAAACATTATATCTATATCTATCTGAATCACTTCACTGCGCAGCTGAGACTAACACAACATTGTAAACCAGCTATATTTCAATTCCAAACAAGAAAAAAAGGAAAAAAAATAAAATATGTTTAACGGGCAGCCTTCGGGGCTCTGGGACTTGCCGTCATCAGGCCACATCTCGTCCCAAGGAGAATGGGAGAGCCGTGATCAGAAGGCCCCCTCTGGGGAGGTGCAGGGCTGGCGGCGGACGTGGACGGATGACGTGGGGAAGCAGAGGGGGCCGCGGTGGTGGTTCAGGATGAGCGATGGCCGTAGAGCTTGGGGGAGTTCTTCCACGTTCCGCAGAAGGAAGTGTAGCTTCAGGAGTTTGTAGTAGAGAAATGCGAAGGAGGCTTTCGATGCCTGAGACCTTGCAGGGGGCCTGTGGGCACTGCCATGGGCTCAGCTCAGGGATGGAGGATGGACTGGAACTGGTCAGGGACAAACCTCATCTCCGGCTCTGGGGGCGAAGGGACATGGTGCAGCAACTGGTACTAGTGGGTTCACCTGGCCGGGAGCCCTGTGTCCTCTCTGCTCACGGGCTCCTGTGTTTTTGCAAAGCCCCACTTCCCCGCCCCCAAAGACTTATCTTCTTGTTGGTTCTTCTTACACCCCAGGCCAGGCCACACTCTTCCAAGGCTCTGGCGGGAAGAGTACTGACCCTCCTGTCCGAGGCCAGCTTTCCACGCCCACGGGGTCCCCACATCTCACCACCGTCCACCGGCCGCTGCCCCCCAGCCGAGTCATCGAGGAGCTGCACAGGGCGCTGGCCACCAAGCACCGCCAGGACAGGTGAGGCCCCTCCCCTGGCAGTGGGACCTGTGTGCCCACATCCCCATCTGAGGCCAGCCTTATGGGGGGCAGTTATGGGGGGCGGGCTCCGGGTTGGACTCAATGCTTTGCTGTCCCCGTCTTGGAATTCCTAGCTTCTGAGCAAGGAGCTCATGTTTTCATTTTGCACCGGGCTGTGTAGCTGGTCTCAGTTGCCACTTTCCTGGAGGGGTCAAGTGGGTGATGTGCACCGTGGGGACCAGCCACAAAGTCCCTGCATTTCCCCCGGAGGATCCAGGGCTGGGTGGGAGCATCCCAGGGGAGAATCGAGAGGGGGAGGTAGCCGTTCCGTTGTCTCGGGACTCTGACGGCTTCCCGTTTTCATCAGGCAAGAGCACAGGTAAGCCTGCTCGGAAGCTGACTCTTATTCTTGGTCTCATGGACTGAGGATAAGTGAGTCATCGAAGGGCAAAACAGACGATGGAATACGCGTGTGGCTTGGCAGAAATATTGGACAAATAAAATACCCTGCTCAGTTCTGAGGAAATCCTTGATGTGTTTGCTGCTCTAAGCCTTGGCGGGGTTTATTACATGCATATCTGTGACATTCAGAACAGCACGTTCTAAGCAGCCATTTGCCTTGGACTCAGAGCCGTGTGTGCCTCTGGTGCTTCTTGTCCTGTGTATCGGCTGCACATACTTGGGGGTCGTCTTTGCAATGCGACCTTTGCAGGGTTTGCAGGTGAAGCTGGACAATGTATAACACGAACTGCCTTTCTGGTTCAGTTTCCAAGGCAGGGACGGTAAGGGGTCCCCGAAGAAACGCGTGGACGTCCGGCTGTTGAGGACGTGCAGTGTGGAGCGGGGCAAGGAGCGGGGCGAGGCTTGGAGCTTTGATGGAGCCTCGGACGGCAAGTGGACCGTGGCTCAGGAGTCCGAGGAGAATAAGGAGAACCTGATCATGAATTCCGAACTCAAGGATGACCTGCTTTTGTATCAAGACGAAGAGGCCCTGAATGACTCCATCATCTCTGGTGAGCGGAGGGTGGATCCCGCGGGGTGGGAACCTCCCACCAGAGGCACGCACCCAAGGCCGCCTTCGAGGGGGCACTTCTGCCGCCAGCACAGAGGGGGCCGGGGAGTGATGGAGAGAGATACCCCCCTCGCCTTGTTTCATGAGCAGGCTGCCTGCGGGCAGGCTCAGGGCACAGTTAGGATGGACCTGAGTGAGTTTGTTTTATTCTGCCAATTGCATATTCATTTTCACGTGTATTGGAAAAACAAAAGTGGCTCAGTAAGTGACAGAGCATCACTGCTTGGGATGACACGGCAGGAGGTGGTGTCGGTGGCACTCGGATGGCCAGCGTTTGGAAAATGTAGCAGAAAATGTTAATAGGAAAGCGAGATGAGATGGAAGTGGGAGGGAGGGAAGGAGAGAGGGGCTGATGCCAGCGGTCGTCTTGGAAATACTACAAAGCTTGGCAGCATCTGTTTGTTCAGGACCACGTGTTCACGAGGCCCTAGGAGGTCTGTGTCTGTCCTCACAACATGTCCTAAAGATCAGAGTATTTGGTCTGTCTTACCCTTGAAGATCTGGGGGCTCAGAGAGACAGAGCATTGTAGACCCCTCATGATGAAGGTAAAAGGGTGCTCAGTCCTGGTGCAGGCTGTGCTGAGCTTTGTCTCTTGTTGGAGGGTCAAGGGTGGACATGGCTGTAAGGCCTTTGGGGAGGATTCTTGTTCCCAAGTGAGGGGTTATTGTTCTTCCTGAAAGCATCTCATGGTGACCGTCACTGCCACAGGCAGAGCTCTGGGTGGAGCCACTGGGGACCTGGTCTGGTGTTGGTGGAGAGTCGGGAAGGGGCTGGCATTGAACCTGAGCTGGCTGGTACTAAGCGGGTACAGGCAGGGTGGATCGTGACCAGGTGGACAGACCAGGAGCCCAGGGCTAGACGCTGGCCTTGACTGTCACCCCCTCCTGTGACCTTGCATACCTCTGGGCCTTTTCCACGCTGGTCTAGTGAAGCATTTCCGGGAGCATGTGCTGTGGTACATGCGGGGTGACACGGCACCCACGAGGTTGGAAGACGCTGATAGATAGTCGAACTGAGGTCTCTTCGTTGCAGAAACTCACAGCCATAGGGCCCTGGACGTCTAAGAAGAGGATGAAACTTGTGATGTTTCCCAAACTTATCTGGCCCTGGGACCCTTTCCCTTAAACACCCGTCAGCATCCTGCCGGATGCGATGACGTGGGACACATCTGAGAACGGCTGGCGTAGACAGGGCTCACGGGCTGGAGCAGGTCCCTCAACCTCAGCACCAGTGACATTGGGGGCTGGACAGTTCTCTGTGGTGGTGCTGCCCTGGGCCTTGTAGGGTGTCTGGAGCGTCCCTGGCTTCTGCTCGCTGGACCGCACTCCCTCTGGCTCTAGGCGAGGGTCCTTCCTGCCTCTTTCAGCTGCTGGGGGCTCCAGTGGTCCTTGCCTTGTGGCCGCAGTGCTCTGATCTCTGCCGCCGTCTTCACATCAGTGCTTCGTGTCCTCTCCTTTTCTTATAAGGACACTCGTCATTGGTTTTAGGGCCCATCTGGATAATCTGGGATGATCTCCTCATTTTGAGATCCTTACCTTAATTACATCTGCAAAAGCAAATTACATCTCTTTTTTTTTTTTTTCCAAATAAGGTCACATTCCCAGGTTCCAGGCGCACCAATCTTTGGGGGTCACTGTTCTATGCAACACTGTCACCCCTGATGGTGTAGCATGTTCCTTTTCTTATTGAGCCAAGGTTGCCCCTGGGACCATTTACCCCCAACCCCACGCCCGGGTCCTCAGCAGTGGGACCAGTCCACGCGCCTCAGACGAGAAGGAAGGAGCCAGGGCCCTGTCCCTGCAGTCTGAGCGGGTCCCCACCTGCCTCGCCCCCCGACCCCTCATTGGTCAGCTCAGAACTTCTCCCCTGCTCTGATGACAGCGCTGTGAACCTTCCTTCAGAGCTTTGACACAGTTGCCGTTTTACCCTGATTTTTGTCCTTGTCTGACTGTTGTCTGTCTCCCCACCAGTCTATCATTATTCGACTGTTACTGATTACCTCATGTATGTGTTTGACTACTGTGCCCCCTCGTCCCCATGTGCCTGGTTCTAAGTAGGAGTCAGTGAGTAGCTGCTGCATGAGTGGCTTTAAATACCATCTGCCAATCCGACAGGTCCTCCAGCCCACGTGGCCCGAGCTCCAAGCGGTTGCCCTGTTAACCCAGCACGTCCCCCTGGGGTCTCGGAGGTGCGGCTGACCTGACATCTTTGGATCTGAGCTCTTGATCTTTGCCTCCAAACCCAGACCATTCCTGTCCTTGTGAGCAGGGCCTCTGACCTTCTGTGGCCTGGAGCCACCGTGCTGCTCTCTGGACTTTGCACCTGACACGCAGATGGCTCCTCCTTGAAGACATCGGGCCAGTCCCCCTCTGCCGTGCTCAGCCTCCCCTGAGGCTCCCTGCCTGCGCCATCACCTCTGTTCTGGCCCCTCCACACAGACAGACGTCAGGGAACGTCACCCCTTGCTCACATCCCTCCAGTGGCTTCCGAGGGGTTTAACGCCCTGACCTCACCAGGACCTGCGTGGCCTGTCCCTGTCCCCTGGGCTTGTCTCCTCTCCACGCCCCCTGGGACCCAGCCACACACCCTCCCTGCTTCTTACACGCCCTGACCACAGGGCTCCCATGCTCACCACACAGGAGGTGTGTGCGGCTCCACGGGGTTTAAAACACCGCTTCCTCCAGGAAGCCGGCAGGCATAAACAAGCGACTCCTCTGCCAGTCCCTACGCACACAATAAATGTCAGTGAATGATGGGGTGTCGGGATGAAAGGAGATGGTGTCTGTAGCCTCACGTGGCAGATCAGCCGTTTCACCACCTCCAAGGGTTCTCCCAGGACGTGGGGCAAACCTGAGTCTCTTGTTATTTGTCTTCTCAAACCGGCGTCCTTAATTGAACTTGGTGTTTGACTGTGGTGACAGGAAGGAGGAGGGTGGAACTCATTCTAGAAACTCTGCTGTTGTTAACATGCCCAGGATCCCACCAGGCTGTGCTCAGGAAGGACTGCACTGACTGTGTTTGCAAACCCAGGTAAAGCCACCCCTCTTGTGGGCACCGTTGTCTGGGGCTCGAGGTCAAGGGCTCACATCCAACCCTAAGAGCATCCTGTGGGGGGTGGGGGGGGCTGGGCCCATTGCACGCAGTGAGGCAGACCTGGGGATTCCCGACGCCCACACACTGACCCCCGACACCTGCAGGTGAGGCCACGGTACACAATCCGGGGTCCCTGAACCCCTGAGATCCAGGGCAGAAAGTGGATTCTTTGCCTTTATCATATTCTCACGTGTGTTTGCAACTCCCTCAAAGTTAACGAATCTCTGGGACAACATGCTAGGAGGAAAAAAAAATTCAATATTGGTTCTGAGAAAAGTCTATAAATCTTACTTTTAGGGGAAAGTGGTTCATAGTGGGAAAGGCTCATAAACGTATTCTGCTTGGCCTGGTAGGACAGTGGCGAAGATGAGCTCTTATTTCCTTCTCTCGCGTTCAAACCCCGCTCCCAGCATCACGCTGCTGTGTTATTTGTAGATCTCTGTGGTGCAGAAGCAGAAAAGCGCCAGGCAGCGGTTTCATCAATTATTAACCATAGAAACTGCACTGGTATTTATTTATTTATCCTCATAACTCACTGTCGATGGAGCCTTTGCAGGTGGCGTCTCATCTAACGTGAACACCCCAGGAAGTGTTTGTTATCGAACATCTTGCCAGCCTGAATTCTCTAGTAGTAGCTACATTAGGGTTTAATTTCTGGAGGTGGTGGAGGCCCCATCCGAGGCAGCCCTGCCCCTGAATCAGCTAGAACACTGTCCTGCTGGATCCAGTTGGAGTGAAAAATGTATTTGCTCTAGTCTGGGTCTGGCCGTTGGATTTCCATGCAGGGCACATACGACGTCTCAGTCAAAACAAAGATGCATTACAGGCTGTTGTGTTTGTGCCTCGTGTGCTGTGTTTATGCTCCCACATAGGCTTGCGTGCGTATGTGTCCACACGGTACCTTTGTGGGCATGTGCAGTCAGCGCCAGGTAATTGGGGACACTCTCAAGTCCATCAAAGGTGATTTTTTTTAAAAGATTTTGTTTTTTAGAGCAATTTTAGGTTCACAGCAAATTAAGAAGAAATATAGACTCTTCCTGTATTCCCCTGCCCCATACCTGCACAGCACCCTCCATTATCAGCATCCCCTCCAGATGGTGCATTTGTTACAACTGATGAACCTGCACTGGCACACGGTCACCCAAAGTCCATAATTTGTTAGAGTTCATTCTTGGTGGTGTACGTTCTGTGGGTTTGGACAAATGTATAATGACGTGTCCATCCTTACAGTATCACATGGAGAAGTTCCACTGCCCTGAAAATCCTCTGTGCTCTGCCTGTTCATCCCTCCCTCCCCCCAACCCCTGGCAACCACTGATCTTTTTACTGTCTCCATAGTTTTGTCTTTTCCAGAAGGTCATATTTGGAATAATATAGTAGGTAGTCTTTTCAGATTGGCTTCTTTCACTTAATATACATTTATGTTTCTGCCTTGACATTTCATGGCTAGATGATATTTAATTTTTTTTCTTAATTTTATTTTTTCTTCCAGTTTTGTTGAGATATAAATGACACGTAATGCTGTGTAAATTTAAGGTGTATACAGCATAATGTTTTTCACTTACATCCTGAAATACCACAATAAGTTAAATAAACATCCATCATCTCATGTAGATACAAAATTAAAGAAATAGAAAAAATATTTTTTCCTTGTGATGAGAACTCTTAGGATTTACTCTTTTGAAACTTTCATATATAACATACATCAGTGTTAATTATATTTATCATGTTGTACATTACATCCCTAGTACTTATTTATCTAATAACTGGCAGTTTATACTTTTTGACCACCTTCATCCAGTTCCCCCTGCTTCCATCTCCCACCTCTGGCAACCACAAATCAGATC